TTTATAAATATAAATATTTAATATTATTTAATATTTATATATTTTTTATTCATTTTATTTTGTGAGGCAAAAATCATGAAAATAACATGTTGTTGATGTTTACAAAATGCCTTTAATGACACATAGTAAAAATTATTAAAGGTTGCTTAAATAAAAATGATTCTTTATAAATATATAAATTAAAAATAAATATACATTTTTATTATAATTTAATATATTACTATTTATTATTTAAATGTATTTAAAACAAAAGATTGTACAATGACTCACTTTGTGCATATTAACAGGATTTCCGTGAGAAGAACACGGATCACATGCGTCCGGATATCGTGGCTCTCTTGCGGAGCAGCGACCGAGCTTACGTCCGGCAGCTGATCGGGATGGACCCGTTGGCGATGTTCCGGTGGGGAATCCTGCGCGCCACCGTCCGCGCTTTGGCCGCCTTCAACGAGTCCGGCCGCCGCTGGGCAGCCAAGACTGCGGGTAACCCATGCAGCTTTAAGCATTAGTTTCCAGATTAGCCCCAAACTTTGGATTTTCATGGTCTAAGAACGTGTTATTTATAACCTGCACATGAGAAAGCTGCCCGGTGACGCAAACAGTCATATTTAGAAGGATTTCAGAATGATTAGGCTAAGAAGGGATCATAAAAATAAGCTAGTAAGATTGTTTGCGAGGCGTTTTGGGTGGGGTGTCGCCCGGGATGTTGAAATCACGCCGTCAACGCTGTTTGTGTTTGTGTGTTTGGATGTACAGGTGTGGTCAGACCAAACTCCAGAGTTCCTCTAGGAGAGCTACAGAGATCCAACATGCCCATTGAGAGGATGTACCGGTAAGCTTTGGACTCAGGCTACCGTGGCTAGAAAAGAGAGAGAGAGAGAGTGGAAGTATTATGAGGAACTTGATCTCTTCCTGTCCTTTCGTTGCCTTTGTGTGGCAGGTGATCATGTGACCATGCTCTCTCCACAAAGGCACATTGCAGGCCGATTCTCACAGTAATCTCATGCGCTAAGTCCCATTTATGCAAATACCAAATATATAATGAAAACATGTCCAGGTCACATTTCATCTCAAAATCCAAAGAAGAAAATAGGAAAAAATATTTTGCATGGAGAAAATGAAACCAAGCTTTAAAGCTTTTTCTGAAAAAGTAGACAAATGCACAAAAAATAAACATTTTATTTATTTAAATACTGCTATATTAATCATTTTATGCTAATCACAATCAGTTAAAGTCAAAGAACAAATGCAATTTAAATTATATTATTTTTCTCACATTTCAGTAATGAAAACTGGGTGGGATGTGCTTAGTTGCCACTAAAGTATCATAATGCCAACGTTTTATAGTCTGTATAAATTTATGCAAAATGTAATTTCTTTCTTTTTCATTTCATTTTATGCTGAAATATGTCCCTGGACATGTTCCTGACAGATATTGTGTGGGAATTATCAAGTTAATAAATGTACTTGTTCCTGCAGTGTCCCTTTGTGTTTTCTCTGGTGTTTGTCAAGGGTTTCCCCTCAGTTACTGACCTCTGATCAGTTTCACTAAAGTTTAACCCATACGGTCAATAAAGCTGGTCATAGATCAGCACCTGCTGGTGGCGTTCGCCCTCGAGTGACTTTATGTGTGGTGTTTATTTTCTACAGCCACGCTCCTATGCTTGATTTCTCCTTTGATCATTCAGAGGAGCGCCCTCTAGAGGCTTTTGAGGACATCTTTTCTAGTTATGAGAGTAAGAAGTAAGTGGACTTGAGCAGAACATTGAGGTCAGACAGGGAGAGCTTGGCGGCTTGGGAAGGCTGGGTTTCTGGTATTCTGAGCAAACTCAAATACCACATTCAGATGTTCGCAGAATCCAGAAGCTAGCGCTTTTCTCTCTTTATGTGATCAAAGGGCAAGCCAGAGTTTGCATTTAACCTGGTTTGTTCAAGGAAATCCACAATCCACAACATACACTCATAAATCCCAGTCGGGACCTTGTGAGGTTTATTACCTCGAAGTACTCCCAAGTGGGAAGGAAACCATAAAGCGTCCTTTATTAAGGAAGCGAGTTCACTTCCTGGTTGGTTGACGCACTATTAGCAGTGCGTCCCCAGCCCCCAGTGCCAATCCTACCTGTTTGACCTCCTGTTCTGATCCGAGTGGTAAGTGAACCAGTGCATGAGTCCAGGTCTTTGCTGAGTGGGGTGCCTACCCCCGTTTTAACACCCTGTCAGGTCAAAACAGCATGGGTTCACCACTGAAGCTTGAAGGAATAGTTCACCAAATTAAGGGCCTGTTCGAATTTAACACACTTGCCTGCATTTGTTCATTGTACGTGATTCCTTTTTGTGGTGGAGGGTGTATCCTTTCACGAAAGTCGGTTAACAACATTGGTGTTGGGTTCCTGTACTTTCCCTTCCCTGTTCAACTCACCTCACCTTACCTCACTCCCTCTGTCTCCTCCCCCTACCTTTTCACCGGGCTGAATCAGGGAGATGCATGTCCAAATCATCAACTCCATTAAGGACTTGCAGTTGGATGGGGAAGATCCACGTAAGCTGCTGCAGTCCTGGGGTCGCCTGCGGTTCCCGCGCCACGTCCTCCAGTGAGTTTGACCGCTGACTCCCCTCTGGCTCGGAATGGATGGGTCCACCTTGCTGACCCTTCATGCCTTGACATCATCGGTTGGCATCGAAGCCAATGCTTGAGGCCCTTTGCTAAGCTTTGTTCTGAAACGTTCCCTACTCCCAAACTTTCCCAAATATGCACCGTTACTTATCGGCTCGCCTTGTGATTTACTGTTTAACCGCCCTAACCCTGCACTAATAACATCCATCTAACAAGTATGCCAATTATTTTTAGATGGCTCCCTAGTGGTATATGTTAGAGGAATGCAGAGTTTATGAGCTGAAAGCAGTGTGATCTTCATTAGCGCTCAAGCTCGGAATGGTATCCACATGCTAACATGCTGCATGAACTTATACGAAACCCACCCATTGAGTCTGTAATGTTTTATGAGCTGTGGAAAGCTTCAGAATCGTTGCTTATATAGACCACAGACATTGAATACACTTGAATCATAAACTTGTCCTCTAAATTAGGAATGCCATAGATTAGTTGTGTATCAATAAAAATGTCCATCATTCCTCCCTCCCACGATGTTCTTATCTCTTCCAAAACCCTGATCTCTGTTATGGTGTATACATGCTAGATTTAACCCCAGAGAACACTGTGAATCCATGGATTTCAATAGGGATGTTAAACGAATGTGGACCCGGCTTTTTCTACACCATTGCGTAAACAAATCTTGTGCGTTCTTCGTAAAAATGCTTCTCAAGTGCGTAGGTTCACTCACGTTGTACAAGCCAACGCATGACTCACTCTACTAACACGTAATATCCCATGGCTTCTTATCTCAACAAACCATCATCCTCCTCTTCCTCCTTCCCTACAGGAAAAACAAGAACCCCAAGACCAAGCAACTCATTCCTAAGGTAAAGCTCTCGCTTGCTGAAATTATCTAACTGCATATTTAAATGAATTCTGTCTAGGTGTTTGACTTTCAAAATGCTGCAAGTGGTTTCTGCTGGTTTTGTAATTTCCACTGGTATTGGTAGTGTCAGCTTATGTTAAGGGGGACATAACACACACAGTTTCGCCCAATCTTATTTTAATCTTGAGTACCTATGGAGTAGTATTGCATCCTTCACATATCCAAAGAGTCTTTAGTTTTATCAGATTTATAAAAGAAAGATACAGCTTTACGATTCTCTCCAAAAACAGTCGAGCTCCTGGAGGTGTGCCGTGGGCGGAGCTAAAGAGTCACGAGCACTTGCGCATTGATTGCCAACAAAACACAGAAATTTGATGCAGTTTTACTTAACGCTGCGGTTCCGAATCATGACTGGGATCTTTTATCGCATGGACTGCTCCATCTTTCGGTATCAAACAATGTGCAAATCCATCGTCGAACTGGGCCTTGTTTATAAAACTTTCATAACCAAAATGACGGGAACAAACACATTTGCGAAACTCCGTTGCTGCCCCGGAAAAAACAAACTGTATCCATGTTTCACGTAACGCTGGGTTCTTTGGGAGCTGAACGAGGTTACCTCACAACCAAAAACACACTTCTTTGGAGACATTCTTCTCGAGCAAGTCCTGTGCAGCGCTGCCGACGACATTGATGGGCGTGCTCTTGCTCTCGCTGTGGGGTGCGTTTCCCAAAAACAACTATGGTCGCAAGTTCCGTCGTTACCAATAGAGTTCAATGGAACTGACCATAGTTAGCCAACGTTGCTTTTGGGAAACGCACCCCAGGTTGACATGTGCGTGCACACGCTCTTCCGGGAGAACTGCCCATATAAGTAATTCCGCCTTTCATGGCGTCATGAAGAGCCATGCTCCAAAAAACTTTCCGAAACTTGTATGAACCTGCAGGGAGTGTATTTGGCACAGATATACTCCGTCATACATCCGAATCGTTTTTTGAAACTTTTGGCCATGTTTACCATGAGAACTCTTTAACAGTGTAAATAACTCCAGAATGCATGAAATAGCATTAGACCCCCCTTTAGCATTGCCCAGGTCAAGATTGTTGGGCTAGAAGATCCAAATCAACCCCGCCGTTGCAAAAATGTTGGCATGCAAACTGAAAGCCATAGCCTACTCTGCAAACTTTATAAAACTCAAAAGATAGTTAATAGTAATTAATCATTATTATGTACTGCTTAGAAACTGTTCAGTTGTAGGCTGTTTAAGGTTTCAGCACAAAATTTCAGCTTGGTTTGTAAATATAGGATTGGCACCATAAAAGCATGTAACCAGTATTAATCTGAACAATTGAAAATAATCACTTACAGCACCTTTAACTTGTTAGCATTTGCAGCACAGCTGGTACATTTTCATCACCATTGGTGAAAGTGTAAAGTTTAGCCACGATTGTTTATGACTTTCCGTTACATGTGCGGTGCTGGGTAAATGTTTTGAAGACTCTACTGCTGTAGTTTAGGCTGGAATGAGATTTTCCATGTCGTCATGTATCCATGGCATTCATGTGGCAAAATAAAGTCTCTTTGTGTGAGAGATTGACTTTCTGTTTTTGTGTGTTTGGGCAGAACCTGTTGGACTCTCGTTCGCTGAAGTTTGTAGTGGGCCTCCATGACCGCACCACCAAGTCTTTACTTCATCTGCACAAGAAGAAACGTCCTCCCAGCATCAGTGCCCAGTTTCAAGTAAAAAAAAAAAAGCTATATTCGATTAGCATGGCTGTTCATGCCAATTTGGTGATTCTGATTAAAAACAAATGCAGTGTTCCAGAACCTAGTGGAGGCATTGTAAGGCATCACTAATTTCAATCACTAATTTCATATATTTCATCAAGTATATTTCATTTAGTGCTTAAAATTTATACAAAATAGTTCAGTCTAAATAGAAAATATTATTTTAGCCAATATTTGTTTGCAGTGCATTTTTACATTTAGAGTTACATGCTGTTAGCTTGGTGACATGCTAAAATCAAACTATTGTGCCATGTACTCTGCATGAGAAGAGCTGTTTGTGTATCTGCCTTTATAGCAAGTAGACTGAAAGGAATAACAGAAATTTCACTAGGTTTTGCAACAGTTAAAAACTCTATTTTAAGCACTAATATTTCAAATGTTAGCATCAGGGAATGCTATGAATATTATACTCCAGTGGTCTAATTGGCCAAAGGCATCATTTGTGGTTTTCCACTTGTCTTCCACTCAATATTATGATCTTTCTCTATCTTGTAGACATCTCTTAGTAAGCTTCTGGAAACGCTGGGGAAGGCGGAACCATTTTTCATCCGATGCCTCCGTTCTAATGCTGAGAAGGTGCAAATGAAACGCCATTGTTCAAGTTGATCTTGATTTTAAGTTCATCAATCTATTTATTTTTCATATAGATTCCTGGTCTTGTTTTGAACTGTTCATCTATGCGCAAAATCTTTGATATGAGATCTAATTTTTTTTTCTGATGTTCAGAAGGAAATGTGTTTTGATGAAGCACTCGTTGTGCAGCAGCTGCGGTACACAGGCATGTTAGAAACAGTGCGCATCAGACGGTCAGGTTATGGAGCCAAATACACCTTTCAGGTAATGACCTAATGAACCGCTAACCCTAAAAATGTATCTAAGTGTGTAATTTGGTTGTCCGAAAAAACAAAGCTGGTTTTCTGTATTATAGGAGTTTACTGAGCAGTTTCGTGTGTTGCTGCCAAAGAAGGCTAAGTCCCTGGAGGACATATCATCTCTATTGCACAGGCTTGGCTTTGACCACACTACCTACCAGATTGGGAAAACCAAGGTCAGCATTTTTCCTAGGAACTCTATAGGGGGTTTAATCGACAACTTTTCTAGTTTTGGTCTTTTGAACTGTTATCTCTGGTAACGTTTTTTTTCTACAGGTGTATCTCAAAGAGCTCGAAAGACAAAAGCTTCAGGACATCCTCCACAAGGACGTCATGCGCAAAATCATTTTCTTGCAGTGCTGGTTTAGAGCTAAAATGCAGAGGATGGAGTTTATTAGAATGAGAGAGGCAGCCATCTTAATCCAGGTATGTCAAAATTGGTTTTGTGTTTGGGCAATATTCTTGCAGTCTGATATTTGATTTGATTGACTTTGTCTGCAGCGCTCATGGCGCAGCTACCGCAAAGAGAAGTTCTACCAAGCAGCGGTTCTGATTCAGTCAGCATGGCGAGGTTCCAAACAGAGAGCTGAATATCGTAAAACACAAGCATCCGTCACAAAGATACAGGCACTTGCAAAAGGGCATTCGGCTCGCAAACGGTATAGATATCACACAAATTAAAAAGAAATCGAAAGCAAATGTATTTACTTTCATAATGCACATTGTTGGCTTATTGGCATGATTTGGTAAGTTTTGGATTGGGTCTTGTTAGGTACTACTCCCTAAAGGAAGAGAAGAGGAAAAGAGAGGAAGAGGAAGCTCGGAAAAGAAAAGAGGCAGCTCGACGAGCCAAGGAGGCAGAAGAGGCCGCTAGGCGAGCTAAAGAGGCTGAGGAGGCAGCCAGACGAATCAGAGAGGAAGAAGAGGCAGCCAGGCGTGCCAGAGAGGAAGAGGAAGCAGCTAGAAGACAGAAAGAGCGAGAAGAAGAGGCAGCTCGGCTTGCTTTAGAGGCTGAGCGGAAGGCTGCAGAGCAGCAGGAGAAGATGCCACTACAACAACCAACGGCACCAGGCAAGCAGTCTGACGATGTGGAGACACTAGTGCTGGAGCGCAATAAGGCTCCTGTGGATGTTGAGATTGAAGGTAAGGGCAGGGCCCAAGTTGATGTCTCAAAAGACCAAAATCGTTCTGGGAAGGTTCCTCAAGTGGAGGCTGGTCCTCACCCTGAGGTTAAAGAACACCAGAAGCAAAAGGAAAATGGATCTTCTGCACATCCCAGAGAGGAAGGTACACATGCTAAACCCACGTCTCCTGAAATCCCAACCGGACAAAGCCAAAACAGAGCTCCTTCACTCTCCAAACTTCCAGCATACAGAAGTCAGGAGAAACGGGAGCTTAGGAGACAACGTGGCCTAGAGCACAACCAGAGAGAAAGTGAACGAGCAGCTTCGGCTGGAAAAGACGATACTTCCTTCAAGAGCAAAACTCCAGAGAGTCCAGGAAAAGCAGATGGCAAGTTGAAGGAACGGTCCGACAGCAAAGAGTTGGATCAGTACACCTTTGTGGCTTGGAAAGTAGACAAGACGAAGAGGGATGCCAAAGATGTCTCACCTGACCTTGTTCGACCTTCCACCTTACCCTTAGATATCCCTACATCAGGACCTGGAAGAAATGGCTATACTGACCCGTCCATCGCCGCTCAACCTGCTCTTGCCAAAGAAGAGGCCAACAGGAAAAAAGAACCATCAAGAAGCAACACTCAGCCAGAAAACCTCATAGCAGGACCCCGCAGTCTGGAGGACAGGCACATCAAAACTCTCCAGTATGGTTTCTTATGTTCTCCTTCTTGTATATCTTTTTTCATCTCCTTATATGATTCTGACAATATCTTCTATCTGGTTTTCCCAACTTTACCAGGAATCGTGGGATCTCTATGTCACTAGACGATGTGTCCAAAATAGGTTTGAGCAGTACATCACAGGTAACGTTGACTTGATTTTAACTTGTTAACACAATGGTAAACATGAAGGAATACATTGATTTTTGTGCCTTGAAGTTTGTTTGACTGGTTAAGTTCCACTGCACACTTCCCATTGGTATGCAACCAGACAATCTGCTGTTCTCATTACATTTGGTAATTTAGGATTGTTATTTAAACAGTCGCTGGAGTTTTAGTGATCATGCTTCTCTGGCTGATTCAGGGCAAAACTCGTCAAAGACGCAGGCCACGGCTCGCCCTTGCACGTATATGTTTGCCCATTAAAAGTGTTGAAATGGAGGATGCAGAGTACTGGACTTTTCCTTTGCCCCCCATGAGTCCATTCAAGGTGGTGTATTGCAGCCTTAAATTAGATGCTGTCCTGGGATCTGTGGTGTGGGGGCTGCTGGTGGATTAACCGGTTGGAATCCTGGGAGGGATTGCAGATATCTTGTGCTAAGGAAAAATAAATTATACTGCTGCAGAGTGAAGGCCTTTAGTCTGTTTGTTATCCAATATGCACAGTTTTCAGACGCACCTGCAGAATTTCAAATACTGTGTTGTACTGACCTATTGTCATGCCAAAACAGTAGAGCTTGCTCTGATTGGCTAAAACTTCCTTCACTGTGAATTCTGAAAGCTCAGTGGCCTTTAAAACTGGACTTACGTGATAACAAACTGAAATCTCAAAATGCAATGGCAGACAATTCCTGGTTTATTTCTTCTGTTTTTCCAACCATTCTTGATTCTTTTTCAAGAAAATAATGATTGTACTTTTTAATTACTCAGTTTGGGATAAATAAAGGGAGGCATTGACCCACTTCAGCTTCCTTTAAGGTGTTATCTACACAGGAAGAAGGAACTTTCTCCTTGTCAGTTTGACAGGCTACTCATTATGCCATTGTTATCTAATCAGCAGAAACGGTTATGTTATTGTACACTACACTGTGCTGCATAAAACTAAAACATTTGCTGTGTTCATAAATTTTGGTGTAGACACATTCCAGCACTGAGGTTGGTCCTGATAGATCGAAGGCCAGCACATTGAAGGAAAAAGTTCATGACACTCACAGCCTGCAAGATGCATCACCTGCCCAGCCGTCGACCCCAGAGAGGTACTGTCCAACTTACCGGTGTTACCAGTTTAACTCCCTCATGTTATAGTCAAACTGTTGCTTAGCCCAGAAAAAAACAGATTGTAGAAGAAAGTCATTTTTAATGTCCTCTGCAGCATCCCTTGAGAATGTTATGCATACTTGCGTTGTGTTGTGACTTGCATTTTTGACACATTTCATTAAACATTTCATATTTCACAATACATGAAATTGAGCATAGCTAAAAACGTACTTTCACATATTTGCATAGAGTATGTTTCAGGCCTTATCTGCAAGACTGTCTATCTCAAAAATAAAGAGTCTTATCTGTACTAGAATGTGGTCACACAGGAAATCTGACTCATTGGGACTCATGGGAAAGTACGGCCCCTGGCTTACATCAGCAGTGCCTACACTTACGTCTGACTCCTGGCATAGGTTACAGACTCCCATATATAGATGCAAAGCATCTGCTATGAGAGAAGGGAGATTCCTGAAATTCCATAATCTGTGTGAAGGTGTGCAATCTCAGTGTGTTTTGACAGTGAAATCCCTTGCCTAATGGGATCTCCCAGCACGCTATGCTTCTGTTTTGCTTGGATATTAATAATAAAATACAAAACTCGCTACAACTAACTTTATGCAATGGTGCATTTTTCTACAATAGGACAACAGGGTTTTTCAGAAAGATCCTGAAGAAACGTCCACATAAAGAAGCTCACACCCCGGAAGATGGAGACCTGAGCCTAGCTTCCTATTTGGATCAAAAAGAAGGTACATACTGCAAAGACAGCATGTGGTTCTTTTAGATTATAATACTTTTCCTTCATTGAATGAAGACATCACTGAATTCAATGATGAACTGTCTTTAACTGGAAAATTAGTGTTTACTATTGTCATTTTGCATTATTGACACACTATTTTCCTAATTAATGCTGTTCAGTTGCTTTGACACAATCTGTATTGTTAAAAGCGCTATATAAATAAAGGTGACTTGACTTGACTTGACTTCATTTATTGTTTTTTTGTTATTGTTTTTGATAGCCACTTCACCATCACGCTCGCACAATTCAAAGCTTCATGCGAGTCGACCCGCTCGGACACCCAGCATCATGATCAGTCACTCAACAACTCGGGCTTCTGAACAATGTAACTCATCGCTGAACCGCGTGATCACCAATGCGAATGAGTTACGCCACCTTGATGAGTTCCTGGGCAATCAGGTGTGAAGAATGGATAGGACTACAAGATATCCAACTTTTTTAAGTTGATTGTGTGGTTACACATAATTGATGCAATATTGATGAGTGTGACTGTACAGACTGTACAAAAAAACCTGTTAGACGTGTTAAATCGTGTCTATAATGTATGGAATTTCTGACAAGCTTTGCATTCTCTCAGACTTATTCTTTCTCTTATGCGGTGTAGGTGAACGATCTACGCTCACGGGGAAAGCAGCTTTCAGGAACAGAGCACATCTTCATTACTGCCACTATGCAGTTTAGAGAAAACATCAAGGGGATGTACTCATTCTCTGTGAGTAGATTTAATGCAACACTCCGTATAACACTTCTGTATAGACCAAATAAGCTGTGTCCTATCCAGCTGTGATGCAACATGAATTTGTTGGTCTGCTAGGTCAAGTTGCATTGTGGGCATTAAAAGAAACTTGGTAGTTCATGTTATTCATTTCTTCTTCTTCACCAACAGAAACCACAAATTGGGTATAAGGCTTTGATGAATAGCTACCACAAAAAAGTGATCAGTCTAGCAGGAGAAAAGCAGAAAGGTGAGGTACCACTGGTGGTCAATCTCTTCCAGTCAGTTCTGGATGGCTTCATCAGAGCGGAGATCAAAAAAGAAGAGGCCGAACCAGCAAAGGTAAAAGTTCATACATGCCCTGTTACCCTCTAGACTTAATTATCTGATGAAAATGGCAGTTGTTATTAATAACTTGAATGCATGTAATCCTTTTGACTTAACTTGGGTAAAATCTGTTTCAGCCACCCAAAAGTCGCAAGATGAGAAGAAAGAAGGATAAGAGCGTAAGTATCTCTGTCCAACAGTCCATCCATTCATATTGACTCTGCCTTGTGAATTGTGAAGAAATGTACACATTTTGTCTGAATTTAGTTGGAGAATCCATTGGACCATGTGTTTACACACTACCAAGTCAACATCATGCAGTCTTGTGATCAGTGCACCTCCTACATCTGGGGTATGGAGAAGGCCTACATGTGCAGTTGTAAGTTGATGCGTCTCCTATTCATTTGCCTTCGTTCAGGCTGAGAACATTGTATGATGATTCATTTTTGTTTCAGATTGCAAAATGGTTTGCCATAAGAAGTGCATTTGTAAAATCGTCATAGGCTGCTCTACGTTCTGCTCCAAGAAGGTAAGAATCCAATCTTCTAAGCATTCTGGAGAAGCGGTCATTTCGAAATCTTGTTCAATTGATCGACCTTTGTGTGCTGTGGGTCTAGTGTGATGATGAGCCTGGATCACAACACTTCGGTGTGCGCGTGTGCCACCTGGTCAACAACAAGACCCCTGTGCCAATTGTGCTAGAGATAATGCTGGAACACGTGGAAATGAACGGACTGTACACAGAGGGCATTTACAGGAAGTCCGGCTCAGCCAATCGCATGAAGGAGTTACACCAGTTGTTGGAAGCAGGTGAGCCATCATGGATATTTCCAGAGCTCAATGGCACATTGGGAAGACAACCTCTCTGTCTCTGACTTTTTTGTAGCTTAACCTGCCCACTCTGATAACTCTGTTAAATAACCTTGTGTAATGACTGCATGTTTGTGTAGGCCCAGAGAATGTTTGTCTTGAGGATTACCCCATCCATGCCGTCACTGGCCTGGTCAAACAGTGGCTAAGGGAGTTGCCTGAACCTCTCATGACCTTCACGCACTACAACGACTTCCTCCGTGCAATAGGTCGGTCCCCACAACGCCATTCTCCTGTCCTCTTGGTAGCCCTTAGACATGCTGTAACTCTTTTGTTGTCTTTCATAGAACTGCCTGAGAAGCAAGAGCAATTGCAAGCCATTTACAAAGTTTTGGAACAGCTTCCAACAGCCAACTTCAACACCTTGGAGAGACTCGTTTTCCATCTTGTCAGGTACAGATGAGTACATGCAGTCCGTAACAAATGCTGTTGGTGCAAAACCATGTAGCCGTCGAGGTAACGATCTGGTGTCATTTCAGGGTTGCGAAGGAGGAGAAGAGCAATCGGATGACGCCAAACTCTCTGGCCATCGTTTTTGCTCCCTGCATTCTCCGCTGTCCGGACAGCGCCGACCCACTCATGAGCATGAAAGACGTCGCCAGAACCACCACGTAAGGACTTCATGTCCACACTGCAAGTTAGAGAGCTCTTTTAAAGTGAATGAAGTCTCAAGACTGAACCTTTACTTTCCTCAGTTGTGTGGAGATGCTACTTAACGAACAAATCCGGAGATACAATGAGAGAATGGAGGAGATCGAGCAGCTGGAATACGCTGAGGCACTGGCTGTCAATCAGCTCAAGCTAAAAAGACAAAACACGGTACACTTGACCTTCCTCGACTTACCTGTCCTTTAGCAGAAAGTCTTCTAGCATTGCTGTATCATTATTTGAAAGTGGTTCGTTTCCAGATGCCTGTGAAAAATGTCCATATTTTGCCTCCTGAACAATCACTTTTTCCAACAGTCCACAACCTTCCACAAGGCACCTACAGAGAGTAATTTTCGCAACACTTTTTTGCTTCTCGTTTTTATGTTTCTGTAGTGCTGGCATTTACCTCTCAGATTTATCACTCCTTACAAAGAAGTAGCGGTACGTATGTCCCTGTGGTATAGTGAACCCCAGTAGTTTGGCATGTTCATGCATCCAGTGTGCATGCAGTGTACAAGTCATGCCTCACTAATACTAACTCAATCCACTGCATGTGTTAGTGTTATTTTAGATCTGTAGACATTTAGACCTGTAGACAAGGGTGTCGGGTGGATGTCGGTGTAGATGTGTGCTGGTTTTGGGTGGTCATTGCAGTGAATGGCATGAATTTCAAAGCTACGCAAAGTAAATTGCTGAATATTAAACAATAGGGGCATTCTGTGATGTTTTTTGTTTGTATAAATACAGACAATAATGCAGAAAGATAAGCAGTCAGGTTTGACTGTTAATCTTTGTTTTTGACTTCTACAAACCTTTGAAACTCATGCCATGGAAACTCCACAATGAAATATAACATCCATCCAAGTGGTTGAAATTCTTTCCCAGTAGACCTTTTCTCTTCCTCTAGACTTGACTCACCTTTGAAACATCTCTAGCACTCCTCATTTTCACTCCACAAGGGATTGTTGTGCCACACTTGAAGAATTACAACTTCCCCCTTTTTACTTCTTAGACTAACCACATGGGGGCAGACTTGAGTCCAATGAAAATGTTTAGTACTGTAGTCCCTTCACTGAAGAACCTCTCTGTGTTTCCTTTTTTGAGGCAACGCGGGAAAAAGCTTGAATCTGTCGATCTCCTCTTGAGTTGAAGTTTGTATCTGTTTGGAGTCTAGGTTCGGGAGAAGCCAGCTTCCGACCTTTGTGCTGTACCTGAGAATGAGCCCCTGGATTCAGATACAGAAGCTGAGCGAAGCCTGATGGAACGGATCAAGTCCATCAAGCAGGAAAAGTATGTAAATGTAGAAGAAATCTCACAAGTAGTCTCAGGACCACACTCTTGAATGCCTTTTTATGGTTTATGTTCCAGAGAGGACCTTGCCTGCAGGCTACCTGAACTAGAACAGCCCGGTTCTGACCAGGAGAACCTGGACTCGGAGGCATCAGTCAGCTCTGAGAGCCTTTTGGACGAGCGAGCGGTCTGTTCGGACACGGAAGGTCAGTATTAAGGTACATACTCCCTTTGTTTTGGACCAGTCCTTTGTTTTTCCTCTGCAGTAGTCACCCATGTGTGGGTCCTGTCCTTGTTGTGTGTGGCGCAGGTCTGGATGGGATGCTCCTGGCACATTTAAAGAGGGTGGCGGTGCCATCCGCTCTGTAGCAGGTTGTGATCTCATCTAACCCAAGTGTTTGTTATGTGCATGGTTGCGGTGATGGAATAAGACACTGCATGTTGTCTTTCTTTTATGACTGTTGGTGGCATGTCTTAGGTTCAGCTTTGGGCTTTCTCCTGCTTCGGGGGTTGATTGGTTCTGTTTCCCTATTGTAGGACAAACAATCGTAGTGCCAAGATTATCCAAACCAGCTTGCCTTCCTAAGTCTGTCACCCTGGCCCAAGGAGGCAGCACATGGGCTGACGGCCCCTCTCTTCCTTCACTGTCTTCTCCCAGGCTTCAGCTCCAGCGTCGCCACCCTATCATCCCCAAAACGGTCAAGCTGCCCCCAGGAGTCTTGTGCCACCCGGCTGTACAGTCCCTCCCTCCCCGCAAAGCCCAGTCCCTCACCCTCGTCCAGCGGCGCGAGCAACCCGGCCGCCGCAAAGACAGCATCCAGTCCCTCTACATCACTGCTGGAACAGAGCTCCTGTTCCCGCTCTCACCTACAACCTCAGACACCTCCAGCGCACAGGAGCTCCAGACCTCCTCCCGACGTTTCTCGGACCCGGACATTGCTATCGTAAAGGACGAGGTTTGACGTGCAAAGCTGCCTGCTCTCGAAAGAACAATTCGATTGGTTGTTGTCATGGGTGCTGACTGCTTGCCCCGGTCGTAGTGACTGATAAAGAGAATTGTCTCACCTAGCACTTTTCCATACTAATAATATATTGGATTTTTAAAGAGACTTTTTTTAAGACTCAGATTTGTGTTGCATATAGGCGTTGACATGCGTCAATGCTTGATGCTTGATTTTTTTTGGGGACGTTTTTAGCATCAAGAAAACAGTCTTGCACCTTTTGTGTCTTTAACGAACAGGAAAAAAACAATTCAACCATGAGGAGTGATACCTTGATGGTGTTTTGTGGATGGTGTTATTTGTACAACCAAGACTTCGTTCATCTTAAATGGACTTTTAAGCTGTAGATCCTCTATCAATTCCTGCACAAGAACTCAATGGACAAGTTTTGACTGTAGGAGGAAGGATCCAGCACTAGCCACTTTCCTCTTGGACCAGAATGCCATAACCGAATGCAATAACTCAGAACTCTCTTTTTTTCATTTTGATAAACAATATGACTCTTTGGATCTGCGTGGATGTCTATTCAGAATAGGTTTGTGTAGGACTAAATACAGTTAGTGGCCAAGCCATTGTGTTTAATACTAAAGTCAAGAGTTACGAATGCTGTTGAATGAAAAGTATGGAACGAATGCCAGCTGGATGTCTATGATGTAAATTACGTTTTGCATCACGAGGACCGTATGTGCCTACTAGTATCGCTGTTTTTGAGTCCTCCGTGACAACGTTTTTTGCATTTAATGGAGAAATGAAACTAATTATTTTCCTACAATACAGTTTGTACTGGCCTCAAACCTGTGTGCTTTTCCTGTTTCTTACCCATAATTCTTTCTGGCTTCCGTTTTGCTCCAGAGGTACCATTGACCATCTATTATTGCTTTTCTTGTTCTACAATAATCTTAAATATCACCTTTAAATGAATGAGGACAGAACATCAATTCATGAACACAAAAAAGTTCATTCATAATAGATTTCTTATAAATCGTGTTTTATTATGAAACAAGTGTTTTTAGTTGTCATTTTAAGACAAAATTCAGTTGCTGTGGGTAGTGTGAAAAAGATCAGTAGTGTAATTAATTTAAGTTACAAACAAGCAACACTTAGGCCGTTTCTCAAACGGAAGGCTGCATCCCCCGGAGGTCGCATTTGTAGGCTGCATACGTCATAAAGATGATCTTATTTTACAATATTAACAGTTATAAATTTGACCATTATTCTTAGTTAAGCGTAAGTTGTTGTAATATGCTTATGACTCGTGAATGTAATGCTCAGTTAAAGGCAGGGCATGTGATTTTTCAAAAACACTTTAGAAAACTGATTCGGGCCGAATAGCAAAACAAACTTGTAGCCAATCAGCAATCTTTGAGAAACGGCCAAAAATTAGTGCCTCTCCAGTCTGAATGTTATGTTATCAGATATATATCTGGGAATCACGGTCTAGTTTGCTCTGTGCTTCAGTAGATAGGCCTGTTCAAATAAAGTTCAGAATCAATCCGGATAAAGCTATTAGGAGGTGCAGAGTCCTTCCCAGCCTTATTCCTGTACCATGGCTTCTTATTTGAACTGCTGCATATTTGGGTAATGGTAGTTCTGTTAAAGCAAAAAAAAAAAAAATATATATATATACACACACACACACAAGTATAAAAATTAGAAGTAAATTCTCATAAAACTATTAATATGCAGTGAGCAAAATGTGTGCACTGTCTGGCACGCAAAAATATAGCACTGTAGAACATGTTTGACTATTTAGAACTACTCTGATTAGATTACAAGCACACAGAAACTTAAAATGCATAACATTAGGAGATTTTACAACACACCTTTGACCACCAGTTGTGTGCTGTGATCAATTCCCAGAGCTGGGACAAAGCAGAGATACGTTCCTCCATCAGAGAGCTGAAGATCGGCGAGTCTGAGAAAGACGTGACCCTTCTTAAGTAAAACTTCTGTTCTGTTCTTGTATGCTGGGTCTTGTTCCTTTACAGAAACTTTTCCATTGATAATATCGAATACATTCCTGATGTCGTTGTGTCTCCAGTGGACTGTCAGCTGTTTTTCTTCAAGCACAATACGTCTGTGACTGCACTTCAAGATGACAGAGCTTCCTTCAGTGCCTTCAACTACCTGACGCAGAGAAGCTAGAAAACATGACTACTTCAGTTTCACATAACTTAATTCGTTCACTAATATTATACAGTGGTGTCCAAAAGCTTGAAACCACACTGAAAATCTAGGATTTATTTTCTCCTGAATACTTATTAAATTTCTAGGTCTGTATCAAAAGTAAAGTGTGACACTGATCATGTGACTCTTCGAACAGTCAGATTTTCATCCATTGAATTGCAAGATGCTCTTTGGAACATCTCAAATCATGCTGGAAATGTTTTGCTGATAATTAATAATAAAAAATTGTATTATAATATGAAATCATGTTTGCTCTGTTCTCACCTGTATCTATTAACAGTGCCAACAGATAGATGAAACGGAACCTGAAAACCATGAAGGAACATTTAAAAAAAGAATATCCTCAGTAAGGTCAAGTCCAAAATAAATAAATGTTTTGCCATCATCAAATAAAAAAAATACAAAATAAAACCTCAACGCTATCCTGTCAGACAGCCACAGTAGACAGGAAGTAAATTTCAAATAACTTTCTCCTAAACTTGATTGGCTGTTTTTTTTTTGTATTACACCAAACGGCTGTGATTGGTCCAGACATGTGAACTGACATGAACCGTCATGAACCGGGTTCGTTAGTGTTGTTGTTTTAATCACACCTGTCAATGAATGGTGAATTGACCAATTCTGAATTATTTCATTTTAAAATGTGATTATTAACTTCCAATGTCATTCTATCCCACATTGCGTATTAAACATACGTTGTTACATATTGACACACGTGTCATAATTTCAAAATCTCACGAGTACATTGTACACTAAAAATTAATAATGATAGACTGTTATTGTCTAGACTGTATTAAACTCTGCATAGAGCGGTTTAAATGGAAAGAGCCGCCTTACCGTCGGTACATGTTGTAGTCTACTGTATGTAAGGGTTACGCTCGGAATAAACCGTCAAAAAACATTCCTCTGCTTCTTATCTCAAGAAATTCAAAATGCGCGCCTGTCTTGCTTTTGTTTTGTTTCTCCGCCTCTAGTCTAGTTGGTAGGAGGGACAATACAGTGCTGCCTAGCATTTATGATCGCTCGACACATCAACTAGCCTAAATAACATGCTTCCTAGTAGGCTATACTCGACCAAACTTATTTGTATTAAAGCAGCACTATGTAACTTTTTCTGTGTTCAAAATTTGCAAAATGTATATAATGAGCGAGTACATCATGAATTCATTTTCCAAACCGCGTTTTTGTCTTATTCCGAATCACTACGGTACACTTATAAGTATTTATATTTGGACTATTGTAGGCTGGTCGGGTCGTCACCGCGGCGGAGTAACACATACCTGCGTGAATCGCCATAGACATAAACTTCGAGAAGTAGCTCCGGTTGGAATGTTCTTCCGCGGGATGTGTGCAGTTCTGTTTATTAACCGCGAGAGCGCCAAAAGTTACATAGTGCTGCTTTAAATAATAACTTTTCAGAATGTGACCCCGCCGTCATAAATGTGTGACTTGTTTCAAGTTGAATTGTTTTCATCTGCTCAATAAACGGTTTCTGAAGTTAGCAATGTTTAAAGGACAATGTATTCTATAAGCTGAAAGAAGCTGATCTGTTTCTTTCCATTGCCCATTGCTCATTTACTTATCAAGTTTTTTATTTATTTATTTATAGCCTACATGAATTGTATTTTTAAAAGGACAATTCAATTCGATTTTCAGTTCGGCACATAATCATACAAACAACCAGCACATGTTTCTTTAAAAATGTGTGCTCTTTGCATGGAAGAAGGTCCAAACAAATATATTAAATCTAGCTTAAGTAGCATGAAAATAAAATACAACTTACAAATCTGTACAAAAAGTTTTATATTTATTTAAAAATATTTTATACATACAGATATAAAAAGCCTGAAAATATTAAACGATTACAGTTGATTTGATTTTCAGCAGCAAGTTATAACCATCTGGTAATGTATTTTCTTACCCCAGATTCACTTTTTCTTTGGAAAACTAAATAGCCTGCTGTTTGTTTATTATATAGCATATAGACCAATTATAGGTTTGTAAACATTCAGGATGCGCGCGCATCATGGTTGCAGAAAACCCGGGAGAGATACGGTACAAAATAATTAGGTTTAAAAATATAGCTCTATTCAGTATTATTCAGCAGCTTTTTAGCTTGCTCAGGAGCAAATTACCCTCCTTCATCCCCAGCTCCTCCTTTCGCCACAGTCAGGACTTGGCTTTCTGATATTCCTGGCTAATCAGACTCCTTTATCTTGAATAAAGTGTTACATTTAAATATCAAGTACATTAATGATATCTGCCTTGTTCTGTTCTGTTAACCCTAGGGGGGTTATTATTGCTGCTCTCCCTGGTTTTATATTTCAAAATTCTGACTTTATTCTCGCAGTTCCGAGATTATATCTCATAATTCTAATAAGGAAAAAAAACTCGTCATTCTCTCTTTTCCCCTCGGCTCTTCTGGCTTTTTTCCTTCAGATTTGACAAACTCACTAGTTTTGAGTTAAGTCGAGTTATAAAGTCCGAATTAGGAGATATAAACTTGCATTTGCGAGAAAAAAA